ACAAAAGATCTCAAGCGGTTGAAAGTCAATAGATTTGTAATGTGTATGCCTTCTTATACTAGCATTTCCTTCAGTACCTAGTCCTCCACTTTGAAAGAGTAAGGCTTGGCCCCATAGTCATAATAGTCGACGGTACGTTCACCCCTGGTTGTCTTGATACCAACTTTTATCCTTTTTGTTGTAATGGGTTTGCTGAGAGTAAAAATCTTCCTTTTACCAAGAGACAAATACATTTGGTGACTTAGCGAGTAGTTAAATGAGGCAGGAGATGATGCAATGGGTGTCTGAATGACCAAGATCTCCTCACTTGGTAGAACTTGACTTCCACTTCCCACTTGTTGATAGGGGTTAACCATATGGGGGTTACCTTGGTATGTCCTTACTTCAGCGGAGACGTGGTTGTTAGCCTGTGCCATCACCTCAGAGTAAGTCTTCCAAGTGTTAGCATTGATCATGTACTTGAAGAAATAATCACGTAGGCCTGCCGTGAAGGCCTTGAGGGTGGCCTTGTCATCTGCCTCAGCGCAGCGAGAATACTCATGGTTGAAGTGACCGACATACTCTCGTAGTGACTCGTCCGGCTTCTGGAATAGTGTACAAGTCATCTGTAAAATGCAAGCGATCGGTCTGGAATATGTGTTGAGAGATAAACTGTTTCCTCAGTTCCTCAAATGAGTCTACTGTCTCATATGGAAGACGACAATACCAGTTTAGAGCTCCGCCAGAAAGGGTAGAGGGGAAGAGAATACATCGCTCTTCGTCGGTGTGCATCCAATATGCCATGGTGGACTCAAAGAGGTTAAGGTGTTCAATTAGGTCATCCTTTCCAGTATAGAGTTGTAAACCAAGCTTTTGTTTTGTCTTCGCTTGAAGGGGGTGTCGAGGATCCTCCTTATGAGAGGGCCAGGCCTGGGTTAGTTTCAGTCAGATATCTTGGCCTGACGTTCGATTGGATCCTCCTTGTGGAGTCATGTACCACTGGAATTTTCTTTCGTAAGTCTCCATTGCCTCTTAGAAGTAGGAAAGTTTGAGTAAGGGCGTGTGGTTTTTCCTTGGACTTGCCGTACTGACTTCTAGGGCAAGTCTGTCGGAATACCTCAGAGTCCTCTGTACCTTTATGTTCTTCTGGGACCTGTCATTCCTTCCCTAAATTGGCAGCTGGCTTGGGTTGTAGGATGAGACTAAGTCTTTCAAAAACCTTTGGGTCATTGATCTTCGAGCATATGTGAAGGGGATTCTCTCGACGTTGCTTTAAGAAGCCTCGGCGGTCACGATAAACGGCTTTCGATCCTTCCAACTCTTCTGCAATGAAGTGTCTTCCTCCACTTCTCCTGCTTCGGGTTGAAGCATCTGGGTTGAGAGAAGTCTCATGTTGATCAATATTTTGATGATTAGCTCTCTCCTCATCAGGGATACCCATGTTGAAGGGCGGTGACCCTCTGTGTTGGGGGGCACCCAGATGCTGGTTGATGTCCACAAGGGCAACCAGTTTGCGTGTTTGAGTACGCCTAGTTTCGTGGAGCGTCTCAAATAGCTTATCATACTGCTCATGGAGGACCTCATTCTTCATTGCTATCTTATTATTGTTCTGAGTTTCTAGCTCATCGACTTTAGCTTGAAGAGTAACCATTTTTCCTTCTTTCTTTCGTTGCTTCGCACTAGGTGCAAGAAAGGTGTCATTCTGTGTGTTGTGGCTTCCTTCGCTCCCCATGTTGGAGAAGGATGCCTGGTCAAAAGAGAGTGTACGAATGGTGGAAACCATCTTGGCAAAGCTAAAGAGAGTGGGAATAAGTGTCGCTTCCCACAAACGGCGCCAAATGTTGATGCACAAAATCAGTGAAGACTTTGGTACAACAGAAAATGTTAAGTTTGTGACCTTCGCTAGATTGCTCCGGTCACTAGTGTGGATAAGTATGTAAATGGATAGGGACAGGGAAGCCAACACAAGATGTACGTGGTTCACCCAGATTGGCTACGTCCACGGAGTAGAGGAGTTCTCATTAATTATGAAGGGTTTACACAAGTACATAGGTTCAAACTCTCCTTTAGTGAGTACTAATAAATGATTTAGTACAAATGACATTAGGAAATATTGTGGGAGAATTATCTCCTTTTATAGAAGAGTTTCTAGCTTTGTTATGACATTGACACGTGTCGTGTTGTGATTAGCTTCTGATGTTGACACGTGTCGCATTGTGATTGGCCTCCTGATTGGAGGGAAACTCTTCTGGGTCCTTGACGGTATAACGTTGACCCGTGCTCAGTAGTTTCAGGATTGGTCAAGTATGATACAAAGACATTTCCTACTAACTCCAAATCTACCATCCCAATCTCTTTCCAGATCCACACCCTCTATTTTTACCGAATTCCATATCTATGGCCCAATTACCCCCCTTCTGGGAAAACCCCAGTACATACACTTGTCGCCGCCCTGCAAAACCCCAGGATCCCAAACCACACTTTTTCCTCCTTTTCTATCAATGCCTCAAATCTCACCGCCAAGTTTCTTTCTCCTCCGTTGAAGTTTCTCGCCTTTGTTTAGCACACTCTCATTCGTTCCTCCAACCTTTCTGTCAATTGTAGCCCAAAATCTTTCTTAGCCTTTCTCTGCCACATATCACACTCCATCCACCATTATTTATTTATTATTTTAAATTATGTTTTTTTTTCAAAATTTTAGTAATTAATTAAATAAGGGTTTAAAAGTCTTCTTTTAAAAGGATGAATTTGTCGTTAATATTTTTATTAAATGGTGGGTGGGGAAATAAAACACCGAGATGAGAATATCAACACTCTTAAAGAATAAGAAGTAATTATGTGCATAATGACTAACAAATAAATGAATAAGAGCAACTCATCTGAACAAACGATATTACCTTACTAAGAGGATGGGCTTAGCCTCACAAATGGCTAGCAGTAATGTGGTTCAAATTCGCATTTGGCGAGAATCAAACCTAAAACATCTCATTTACAAGGAAAGAGGAATATTACTAAACCGTAATACTAAATGGGGGGAATAAGAGTAACTCATTTGAATGTACAAGAAAGATGGTTTGTAATATATTTCCTTCTAAAAAGAAGTCATAAAGCTAATCACATCTTTCACACATGATTTAATTAAGGGCGTAGAACTCTCATTCGTTCCTCCAACCTTTTTGTCGATTGTAGCTCAAATTCTTTCTTAGCCTTTATCTGCCACATATATCACACCCCACCCACCATTATTTATTTATTATTTTAAATTATGTTTTTTTTTCAAAATTTTAGTAATTGATTAAATAAGGGTTTAAAAGTCTTCTTTTAAAAGGATAAATTTGTCATTAATATTTTTATTAAATGGTGGCTGGGGAAATAAAACACCGAGGTGGGAATATAACCACTCTTAAAGAATAAGAAGTAATCATGTGCAGAATGACTAACAAAGAAATGAATAAGAGCAACTCATCTGAACAAACGATATTACCTTACTAAGAGGATGGGCTTAGCCTCACAAATGGCTAGCAGTAATGTGGTTCAAATTCGTCTTTGGCGAGAATCAAACCTAAGACCTCTCATTTACAAGGAAAGATGAATATTACTAGACTGTAATACTAAATGGGGGGAATAAGAGTAACTCATTTGAATGTACAAGAAAGATGGTTTATAATATATGGCTCGTTTGGATGTGTTTTTATAATGACTTAAAGCGCTTTTAGATAAAATGTTTTTTGGTTCCAAAAGCACTTTAAGTGCTTTCTGCAAGAAGCACCAGTTATGTGTTTCTTCCAAGAAGCACCAGTTATGTGTTTCTTCCAAGAAGCACCAGTTATGTGCAATAAATATTAAGATGAGTAATAATATTTACAACTTATACCACGGTATTCAAAATAAATCATTAAATGTTATTACTCATCTTAATTATAACGAACAAATAATTATTGCACATAATTATTTTACCTAAACACACACACACACACACACACACATATATATTATACTAATTAATCTACCTATATGTAAATTTATGATGAGCAAATAACATATTTTTTTAGGTAAATTAATATTGAATCCAATAACGTTCTTGTATTTTGTAGGTAATTTATTTTCCATGTATTGTTACATATATTTGGCATATTTTATTATTATAAGATATATGTACAAATATTAGGTAAATTAATTTTGAATCACATAAAATTGCTTTATTCTGTAAGTAAATTGATTTTGAATCAAATAACATTTCTTCATTATGTAGGTATTTTATTTTGTATGTATCATCATATATCTTGGGCACATTTTATTATTCTATATAATAGGTAAACTAAGATTGAATAAAATAACTCTTGTTTTAAGGTAAATGATTTTGCATGAACTTTTACATATATAAGACATTTTTTTGTTATATATGTGTGTGTGTGTGTATGTGTGAAATAATTTACCTACATTTATATGTAAAATATAATTTATTGACTTAACTAAGCATGTATTATTATCATTTAGTACTACGGTCTAGTGGTATTTCTCTTCACTTGTAAGAGAGAGGTTTTAGGTTCGATTCTTGCCAAAGGAGAATTTGAACCATATCGTTTGTTAAAAAACAAAAACTAAGCATATATTATTACATATATTAGGCATGTTTTATTGTTATTATATATTAGGCAATGAATTTATTATTTTTTTATTTTTGTAAATTTATTAATTCTCTATTACAATTCATATAGAATTAATTGTGTACATCAAACATTCAAATAGGAGTATTTTAGGCATCAAAAATTTTTAAATGCGTAAAGTTAAACATAATTAATGAATTTTCGGATGTAGAGAAAATTAAGTTTCAAAAGCTAAACTCATATTTTCAGTTTAATGAATTAGTAGACAGTGGAAAAACAATGGAACCCTACCAATCGTGATACACATTTCATTTTAGAAAAGTTTTACACACTAACGTGCGGAGCCCCTACCAGTACCACCAGTCTATAAAAAAAGTATCCCTCACAGCCTCACTCCATGCTAATATCAAAGAGTGCAGAACAAAACACAATGGGATTCCGCTGGTGCTTGTTTGTGTCCAATATGTGTTATATAGTTTCCAAAGTTGTGTTGTTTCATCTCGTGGTTGTTAGCTCATCAGTTTCCTCATTGCAGCAATCTTGTCGTGACGAGGAGAGGTCTGCCTTGCTGCAGTTCAAGGAAAGCTTCATCATTAACAGATCTGCCTCGTATTCTGATGACGCTTATCCTAAGATTTTGCAGTGGAAACAAGCTGAAGGACGAAATGGCAACTGCTGTGCATGGGATGGCATTGAGTGTGATGAGAGGACGGGTCATGTGATTGGCCTTGATCTTAGTAGCAGCTGTCTCCTGGGCTCTATCAACTCCAACAGCAGCATTTTCCGGCTTGATCAGCTTCAAGTGCTGAACCTCGCAGACAACAACTTCAGCTCCTCTCCAATTCCTACTAGCATTAGGAATTTCCCAAGGCTCACGTATCTTAATCTCTCTAGTTCTTTATTTTCTGGCCAAATCCCATCCCAAATTTCACAGTTGGCCAAATTGTCGTCCCTTGATCTGTCTTTGAATCATTTAACCGGTCCAATTCCTTCTCTAGGAAATCTCACCCACCTCACAAAACTATTTCTGTCTTCCAACAAAGGTCTAACTGGTCATTTTCCTGAATTTAATACAAGCAGTCCTCTCACTTCACTGTATCTTAGCCACACTAGCTTATTCGGAAATTTGCCTTCTTCAATCGAAAAGCTTGATTCATTAAACACGCTGGATTTGGCAGCATGCAATTTCTCGGGCTTGGTTCCATCTTCACTTGGTAATCTTGGGCAGCTCATATATTTAGACCTTTCAGAAAATAACTTTAACGGTCCAGTCCCTAGTTCATTGGCAAACCTTACCCAACTGAAGGAGCTCTATCTTGAATATAATGATTTTAGTGATTCCATCCCCTCTGCTCTCTGTAATCTCAACAAGCTCGAAGTCCTGTCACTTTTCTCTAATAATTTTAGGGGTTACATCCCGACTTCACTAGGAAATCTCACCCACCTTACAGTACTTGATCTGTCTTCGAATCAGTTAACCGGTCAAATTCCTTCTCTAGGAAATCTCATCCACCTCACAGTACTTTTTCTGTCTTCGAATCGGTTAGCCGGTCCAATTCCTTCTCTAGAAAATCTCACCCACCTCATAGCACTTTATCTGTCTTCGAATCAGTTAACCGGTCCAATGCCTAATTCCTTATCCGATCTCATCAATCTCGAGGGATTAGATCTAACTGATAATAATCTGACCGGTACAGTGGAGTTCCACGTCATGTTTCATAAGTTACAAGGGCTCGTCGATTTACAACTATCTCGTAACAGTTTGAAAATTTTGACAGAAACAGAAAGTATGAATGCAAGCCTACTTCCAAAGTTAAAATTTATAGGATTGGGTTCGTGCAACATAAGAGAGTTCCCAAGTTTCCTGCAGTATCGAGAAACATTGGTGTCCTTGGACCTTTCCACCAACAATTTGCATGGCAAAGTACCGAAATGGATGTTGAACACAAGCACACAGACTTTGACGTACATGGACATTTCTCACAACTTCCTTTCAAGCATTGTCCAGCCTTCAGATGCCGTTCCTTGGGTTAACCTACAAGTTTTAGGGCTCAAGAATAACACGCTACATGGGCCGCTACCGATGCCTCCACCACACACAGTTCACTATAGTGTTGCAAACAACAATCTTAATGGAACAATTTCACCATTGATCTGCAGTCTGAATTTTCTTCAGCTCCTTGATCTCTCCAACAACAATATGAGTGGAATGCTTCCCCCCTGTCTCGGAAACTTCAGCGTTGATCTGCGAGTTTTAAATCTTGGAAACAACTCTTTCAGCGGCTTTCTTCCTGAAACATACACCAACACAAGCAGTCTGAGGTGGATTGATGTTAGTCATAACCAATTGCGAGGGCAACTACCAAGGTCGTTGGGGAACTGCATGAAACTTGAGTTTATTGATCTGTCATACAATAAATTCAGCGACGTTTTTCCCTTTTGGTTGGGGGCTCTTCCAGAGTTAAAACTTTTGGCAATGCACCAGAATGCGTTCTACGGTCTGATAGAGGAACCGGATCTGGACAATGCTGAATATTTCCCTGAGTTGAGATTTCTGGATCTATCTTCTAATAGCTTCAGAGGCAAGTTTCCATCTCAAAACATGTTTTCCGGGAATGTCATGAGGGGTGTCACTCGAAACCAGTCAACATATATGAAGGTAGACACAACTATCGACACTCCTAGTCTTCAGCTAATCTTTTATGAATTTTACTCAATCACGATAACTAGCAAAAGTGTGGAGAGATATTATCCGAAGATTCAAGCAGCCCTTGCAGCGGTTGACATCTCAAGCAACAAATTTGAAGGGAGGATTCCTGAATTTATTGGGAACCTAGACGGGTTGATGTCATTCAATATGTCTGGTAACCTCCTAACTGGTCCCATCCCATCATCTTTCGGGAATTTAAGAAACCTTGAATCACTGGACCTTTCACACAACAAGCTTTCAGGACAAATCCCTCAAAGCCTCACGCAGCTTACATTCCTTGCAGTATTCATTGTCTCTAACAACAGTTTGACAGGTCCAATACCGCATGGAACCCAACTTACTTCATTCAATAGCAGTTCATATGAAGGAAACCCTGGATTGTGTGGAGATCCCTTGCCAAAGAAATGCGGAGATCCCAAGGCTCCTCGCCTGTCTCCTTCAAAAACTGAAGAAAATGATTCAGGCTCGTTTGAATTTGATTGGAAATTTGTTTTGGCTGGTCTCGGAAGTGGGTTGGTAGTGGGAGTTGTTCTTTCTGATGTGGTGATCACAAAGAAGCATGAATGGTTTGTTGAGATTGTTAAAACCATCAAGCTGATGATAGGAACTTCGTAAGTCCACTATAAGGTTATGCATTTGGTGTTGTTTTTTGCTTGTTTTATATTATTTCGTTGTACTCCTTTTTAATGTTATGTCTTCCTTTTGTAATATGGTATATTAGTTCCACAAAAGGTACAAACCCAGCTGAGAGGCGGCATTGTACAACAGCTATCAACCCCTATTTAATAGAACAAGAATTCATAATTCTATCGAATGTAAACCCAAATTTATCAACAGCTAGATATTAGAAACAGTTTAACTGCCAAAGATGCTAGTCAAGCAAAAACACATCAACTCACATATGAAATATCCAAGTTATCTAACATCTATTATGTGCCACTAATTCGCATATTTTCTTATGTGTCACTAATTCATTACAATATATTCAAGTACGGACATTTTAGTATATTAATTCAGTAAATTATGATACAAACGTTTAGGTACACTGATTAAAAGAAGTTAAACAAAATTAAAAAATTAAAAAACGTATAATAACAAATTTGAAATTTATGTGACGACGTTAAATAAGATATCTATTAAATATTAAAAAAAATACAATATAAATTTGAATTATGTACCCATTAAAGGATTAAAATGAATATGTAATTTAACAAAGGATTAAAATGAATATGTAATTTAACTTCAGATTTTTATTAAAGTTTAATCTTTTTTAAGAATTAAGGTTCTTTTCAATCCTATCGTTATACAATATAAGGGCGTGTTTTCAATCCTATCGTTGGATAAATGCCACAAAATATTTTCAATATTAGGATTAAGTCAGCTGTATTTATTAACTTTAGTTTTTTCTTTTTCTGTCAGAAGATAAATTTGATTGAATAAACTCATAAACGTGTCATTACATTGATGCCAGCAGCTAGAAAGCTAAAGTGGCTCAAAGCGATCCCAATAAAAACTCAAAGGCGACAATAATATGATGATGAGAAGCTAAAACATGAAGTTGAAGAAGAAATTAGATGCCTAAACATGAAATTATTTATTAATTTAAATAAGAACTCATTATCTTTTATTATTTTAGTTGCAAGTGTTAGGAACTTATGCGTTAATTAACATAATAGAGATGAAAGATTATTGTTAGAACTATTGCCTCAAATATTGTTTTGAACCAAATTATTGTTATAAGATCAAAGACGTACATATAAAAGCTGAAATGATTGATGGTGATGTGAGCACCCACAATCCCTTTCTGGTAAAATATAAAATATCGATGATATCGGAAATATCGGTAGTCCAAAAACAATGAAATATCGGGATATTATCGATATCGATAAAAATTGAATAAAAACCACGGAAATTGTAAGAAAAACTTGGAAATTTTTATTGAAACTTTGCAGGATGTTTATTTAGTCAATTATCTATTAGTTTATCACAAAAAATTGGAAGGAAATGCATTGCATGATGGATTTAACTGATTTAAGTTGATTATATAGCAAGCTGGAAAAAATTATGAGTGTAGAAAATATGTAGTAATTAATAAAAGAAGTTCAAAACAAAACCATATATATAAATATTTTAGCATATTCTCACAAAAACATAAGTGATATGGTGGTTAAGGCGTTAAGGAGTCAAATGGGAGGGGTTCGAATCCCTCTATGCTCAAAATTGAGACTTTTCAGAAAATTTTAAGTATTTTTGGATTTCATATCGCGATATATTAACGATAATTAAAAGGATAAGTCACGAAATATCGTGATCTAAAAAAAACAATAATATCGGCGATATTTCGCCGATATTTTGGTCCTTGCTCACAAGTATCCATCCGCCTTCAAAAGACCACTTTTGGTTGATTTGTTCAAATGTGGAGTCTGATGCAAATATTCGCTTGGAAAAGCTTTTGCCATGTGAGCCGAAAAGATGGTTGTTCCTACTCCTTACCTTTTTTATTTTTAGGAAAACATCGACGGTACGAGGGTAATTTTATTGATAACGAAAAAACAAGTTACACCTACTCAGGGGGACATAAACCTTACCCCTCCAAAAAACAGAGACAACAAAAAGGAATACACTAGAAATAAGGGGGAACAAAAACCTTACCATTCTAGAAACAAAAAACGAGAATGATACAAAGAAAGGAGGGGGGATATGAAACCTAACCCCTCTAGAACCAAACATGAAGGTCTAAACCTGCAAAACAAGTCAAACAACACCATAAAGATAGGAGAAAAAAAAAGTGAGACAAACCTAGATGCCGACATGCACATTAATTTGAGAAGCAGTAACCAGACAAGCCAACATAGTCAGAAAACAGAGCAGCACGAACCGCCATCGGAGGAGAATCATGCCATGTTAAAGATGGAGAAGACAAGCCCATGTTAGCAAAATTGTCCGCAACAAGATTTCCTTCTCGATATATGTGAGATGCGTAGAAAGTCATTTTCCGAATGCGATCCAAACAAATAGACCATTGCGTATGAAGAGGTCAAGGAGGATCAAAATCAGATGATTGAAGAGCAGAAATAACACTAGAACTATCACTTTCCAACCAAAGACAATTGATACAAGGTTGGGATGCAAAATAGGATGTAAATTATAGATTTTAGAGTGCTTGGTTAGTTGACGAATTTGAGCTGTTATACGATGTAATTCATGTTAGTATTTGTAGGTTTAAACCTTTGAATCTGGGAATTATTTCAAAGGAAAGTAGGGAGGAGCGTTACTAAATATGGATGCATGTTGTGGGACTGGTCTAGGAAAGATGTTGTGAGACTTGGTCTAGGAAAGGAAAAACTTTGGGTAGTGTGCTCAAATAGGCTTCACGGGGCTCCTAGCCTCTGCAGTGTTATACCAAAAAGAAAACTTGTAGCTGTAGCCATGGAAAGATGAAGGAAGATTAGAAGAGGAGAAGAAACTAAGAGATTCTCCAATTGGAGCCTAGAAGGACCTTGTTTCTATAAATACAATGCATCACACTGTAAATGGGAGAAAGACAAAACCACGCGAGGGAAGAAGAACGACAAGGGCAAGAATGCACCATGTAAAGCAAGCTTCCTCTAAGTGTAGGAAACACTGGTTCTTTAGAAAGAAGTCTTCCTTTCATCCCGAGCCTTTCAATAATCTTCCTTAACTCCTGCAAAACCACCAAACCATTAGAAACCCTAGATTAGCTGTTGTGATACCATACAGCCAAGAACAACCTCTCTTTAATGCCAAACTAGTAACCTTTTAGCTTTCACACCATGCATCATTCATTCAAGTCATAACGTATTGTGATTACTCAGTTGTTTACAATGTTCGTTAGTTTAACAAATACTCTTCAAAGCCCCCAGAATCAATGCAAGAAACACCCATCAGCGCATAGGGAAATAGTGGTTAGGGTTGGGAAACACTCCATCAACGCCAAGGGAAAACACTCGTCAGTGCCCAGGGAAACAATCGTCAGTGCCTAGAGAAATACTCTATTAATGCCTAGGGAAACACTCCATTAACACCTAAGGAAGCATCCTTTCAGCACTGTAAGCACTCACATAACACCAGACCAAGCATCCATGAGTTGTAAGAAGAAGAACAAAGCATTCCCTATATGGGTAGGCACTTAGAACCGAAAATCGAAACCGAAACACGAACCAAATCAAACTGCACCGAACGGTTTGGTTTTGCGGTTTTGAAACGGTTTCGGTTTTGAAACCAAACCGCAACATAGAAAATGGTTTGGTTTTGGTTTTGGCTTTTGAAAACTGCACCGAAACCGAACCGCACCGCAAATATTAATAAACATTTAATTAAATGTCCATATTATATTTCATGTTTTAATTGGTTGTTTGTTAGAATTCATACACTTAGTATAGGACTCAACCACACTAGAATATCATCATTCATCACTTTCTTTCGTTCATTAACTTGAAGGACCTTTGTTATTTTATACCATCACACACACATATATGTACAATGGTGGACTAATCTTGTTATCAAGAGTCGAACAATGATCTAATAAAGTCCACTCATTTGAAGCATGATATCACATATTCTAGTATCAAAGTTTCGCTCATGTTTAATGAATTCAAATTTATTCAACTTGTTTTATGATAAACATTGTAAGGGACACCCTTTTGTTGCACAAACATGTTTTAGCATCACAACTACATGCAACATGCTAATTGTTTACATAACAAATGTCTTTTTCCTATTGCTATTGGGAAATGCTTATTAATATGTTAAATTGCAAATTGTACATTTTTTCTTAAAAACCAAACCGAAACCGTTTGAAACCGCATCGAACCAAACCAAACGGTTTAGTTTCATTTCGGTTTTGGCTTCAAAACCGCACTGAACTGAACCACAAAAAAATTCGGTTTTGATTTTGGTTTCACTCAAAACCGCACCGAACTAAACTGTGCCCACCCCTAATTCCCTAGGACTTTCTTTTCAACAAGGGACATGAAAGTTTGGACTCGTTTCTTTAAAACACAAGCCCATCAAAGTCTCTACGGTCCTCATATACTACATACAATAACATATTAAAATTTCATAGTGATCCAACAGTCAGATTGACATCAACTACAAAATTCGAACGGCGATACAATTCGTCTAAATCAAAATAATCAAACCGTCGAATAATGTTCAACAAACGGACTTGGAACTTGACCCAAGATATTGAGGATGTTTGGCTGTCCAAAAATCCAATATGCCAAAGTCCCCCACGTGCCGCCACGGGCGGTGTTTTCGATGAACTGAAACCTAAGTTTCCAACTATCTTCGATCGTCCTTTAATTGTAGAGGCTGGTACAACAAGTCACACAGATGAATTTTCATACCTGGGCTGAGGTCCAATTCGATTGAGAAGCACCTAAATTTCGACATGGTGTACTGGAAACCCTAGAAATGTGTGATTGTCGATTCGACGTCACCCGACCTCCAATGCTTTGATCTTTATTTGGGTCTTTCTCATGACGTCGAAATGAGTTAGATGATGGTGGTGGACGATGACGAAAGTCACGACCACGATGAGATCACCTTAGTGCGCTCAGGGAACCCCAACAACTCTATTCATCGTGAACTTAGGGCCAAATCGAGTCGAGTTGATGTGGAATTGCAAGATGGGAAGCCGCTGAGCCGTTTGCTGGTAGTCGGCCATCTCAGTTCATTGGAATGGCGTCGGAAAATTTGGTGAGGGAACCGGGTTAGAGACTAGGTTGCATATGGGTCATGTGTGGGATCAACCAACTGGGCCTTCTCTCCCCCTTTCTCATTGGGTTTTTCCACCAATAAATGAGGCTATCTCCTCTCTGATTGGTCCTCTCCAA